CCGCCCACCATGGGATGTGGTGCGTGGCTGGCCTAACGTGTGAGATCAGCTGAGTTGATTGCCGTATCAACCGATGGAACGGCTGGCATATCCAGAAAACTCGTTTGGACGTGACTCTCCCCCGAGCAAATCTCCTTCACTGCTAGAAGGAATGGGTTTCTATTTAGGTGTTGTCGACAGTTTTTTTCGTTTTTTCTTCACTATCGTTCCACCTCCCATCTCTAAACTCAATATCAGGTGCCATAATGCCGAAACACGAGCCTGACTTTTGCCTTTAAAGGTGCATGATGAAGGGTTTGGATGCAGCCCGGGAAGCCTTTCAGTGATAGTGTTTCAAAATGCAAAATTGGTCTGATCTGATCCCAAAGAGTTTCTGTTATGACAGCTGCAACAACGCAAAACAGAGAGAAGCGGAGCAAATGTCAGGCCTTAAAGCGCACGTACCTATCCTCATAAAAGCCCACTGAGGTAACAGTCCGCACGTTCGAGGCACAGCCACACCATGGTTCCTCTTTTACTTCTGGTAGGTGCAATGTTTCCTTTTTATTGGCAATCACATCTACATATTATCCCTCTTGTGGCCGATCGGCGTGTTTGATGAGCGTGTAGTCGCAAAAGAGCCATGAGGGGCAGGAGGTCCGAGTTGCGGCGACGTGTTGAAAGCGGCATCGCGCACGCGACATTGGCAGTGAGAAGTGCCGTGCACCTTTCCTTTAAACTCGCTTACGTCCATTTTCCAGGACTAAGTAGAAATCGAGGGGCTCTCACGGGTTTTACCCATTTTTATACTATGCTGTATAACTTCTGAACTTACGAGGATGCCCTCTTATACTAGACGTAGCCCATCCGTCGCTTTAACAACCCTCGTTGAGTGGTTTGGATCCACTTTCTTCAATCTATGCATGGCATCGTTAAAAGAACAAATTTCAGGTGTTTCTGCTCATTCGCTGGAGCGGACAGCAAGCGTTGGACCTGCGTAAGTTTACAGATCCGCTAATTCCATCAAAGGCTTGCCAAAAGCGCATTGAATCAGAAGGATTCACAAATAGCAGTGGAAAAGTAACCAAAAACACTTCCTCCAGTGTGCTTCCACGGTACCCACCTTCCTCATAGATTTCCAATGAGACTACCTCAAGAGCAAACTTAGGCCTGAAGGTCTAGGTCATGATCTGCAGCAGTTAATAGGAAATAGTATCTAATTTGACCATTTAGGACTTAGCTTTCCTAAAAAAAAGCTTCTGGAGAGCGATCTTTTTGTTCTCGAATATTGCAGTAGTGGATACGTCTGTGGAACCCGCTACAAAAAGGCTGAAGCTTTCTTGCTGGACCGTAAAAGAAGCTTCGAAGTTTGAGCATGGTTTCATAGTTTTGCAGTTTACTATGGGTACCGGGACATGTCACTTTGTGACCCCCCCCCCATTCTAAGACAGGCTCCTCACTTGCGAAGCCTCAAACATGCCTTGAGAACCAAGTCAACTTCATATAGACGTTTATATATTTCAGAAAACTCCTTGAACACTTACGTTGGCGAAAAGCTCAATTACTTCCGACAATCTGTAGCGAACGGAACCGCACTTATGGCTGGCGGAAATTTGCCGAGCACCTTGTCAATGTTCACGATGGTACGCCACCTAATATTTATGGGTTTGGAAGCTACCCATACCTATAATGAATAGCCAAAAATAATCGTCGGTGTCCATCTGAGGGTCATTGATCCTTATTTTCCCCTCTCCATAACTTTAACGTGCTTTACCACTGCGCTAATGTGGAGATTCCACTCATTATTTAGGCCTCTGCCCTCAAATAGCTAGAATATCTCAAAAGGGCTCAGCTCAAGTTCTGTATAATAGTATGCAGGGACCAACCACGGCAATTTCTGCCTCAAAATCTCCTGAACTCCTGGGTTCCTAAATAAAGCGGTCCTTGCCATGACCTTGCCCACGATCTGGTGGATTCTGCGCATCTGGAGACATGTTCATGTCGACGACTTTTAGGACTGAAGTGTGTGCATCATCTTTCGTCCTCCTATAATTTACGTTTGCACTCAACGTAGGAAAAAACACATCCTTATACAATCCAACCATCTTTTTCGAGGTGCCCTGAATAAGAACCTCAACAAAACGTCATTCCTACTGCTTTTTCTTGGGATCTACTGCCGGTGTTCAAAAATTTTTGAAATGGAATTCTAAAAGAGAAAGTCATCACCGAGCTTCAGCAAAACAATATTTCTAGATTTCCAGTAAGACCCTGATGGAGAACTTTTTCAGGATGTGAACAGCAAGTTGCAGATGTTGGCCTATCTGAGGATCCTCAATTGCACTCAGGGAAATCAGACTATACCTGGCGAAGAAGTCTCGATGAATTATTTCTCGTTAGCGACTTCTTTTCGCTTAATGACTTCTGTTTCGCTTAGAGCTCACGTGCACTTTTGAAGAAATGAAAAATATACCACATTCTTATTTATCTATTTTTTCAGCACTGGTTACTTACCATCCTCCATAACTAGTGAAATGGTGGCAGACATCGCGCTTGGCCAGTGGGAGCTACAACCGCTTACATATGGGATAGGAAACGACGTCATGTACACCAACGAAAAGCTGCAGGAATTCGCTAACGTGCGTTTTCAGCTCCTTGTTATTGACTGAGCCAGAGAGAGCCCTGCTGCTTTGAAGCTCCTTGTAGTTGATTGCCTTGAGCTTCAAAGTCTAGAGCCTTATCTATCGGGTGATCTTCTTGCCGCGAGCGAATACTGTAGTGTTTTGCAACCGTATAGTGCTTGCATCCGTGGAATCGGTAGCCAGACAGCAAACGAAGAGAGATCTGGCGTTTCCGAGGCCGAAGGTGCACCACTTCGTTACAGTGAGGTTGCAAACCGTAAGCTACGCTAGCAGGAGCTTGCGACACCCCTATGATTGTTGCTCGATAATGATTTTGCTTAGGCACTTCAATCCACAAATTCAAATCGGGTCTATTCCAGTTAGGAGGGCATCATGATGCAGTTTCTCGGCGAACTAGTGTGAACTCGAACATTCCAGCTTTTCACGCATGTCAAGTGACTGCCCTCACCCCCCCCCCCTCTACACTCCCTGGCTCGGAGTTACCTTAACTTTCTGGAAAATTGCATCATGATGGCCTCGAATAGACCTTTCAGATGTTTAAAGGAAGCGGTCACGCTGGCTTCCACGCTGGATTTGCTACCCTCGCGTTATCAATCGATAAGGTGTGAGGCAGTAATTGTTGGACGAGTGTAAGCCCATGGAAGATATGATACGATGAGATAAGAAGGTGCGGCTGCTTGATAAGAGGTGCACTCCAGAATGAAAACGGGACGATAACGATAACGGTATCATATCTAGCACGCTCTTATCGCACCCCTTTCCACATCGATAAGTCTTGGTTTTTGCTGAACGGAAGTGGATTTCGGCGCCTTATCACTCCGTTGATAAGGCGCCACTGCCACTGAAACTTCACGTGTTGTAACATTGGGCAGGACCCCTATCCACTCCAATACATAGCTTTCCTTATCGTTCCCATGAAAATTATCGTGACCACTTCCTTTAAGTCAACTCGCACACACATACATGATCAATCGGCAACAAGTTACCGACCTCACTCTGCTTAAAGGAATCTTCCACGGAAAGAGTGATCATTTTGTCTTGTGTGTAGGATTAGTATTATCGAAACTGTTCTTTTTGCTATGCTCATGAGGCTAGGGGCCTAAGGGGTATCGTTTTTCTGTGGTAATGGAGGCGAAGCCTTTTCCGCGGAAGATTCCTTTGAAGGTCACATACATAAAAATAAGCGAGAGGCGAAAATCAGTGAAGAATGGAACATGACGTACTTAACGTCACTCACCAGTACAGAAAAAGAAAACTAATCCATTAATAATGCAAGGGAATTCTCTCGAATATGCTGCATTCCCGAATAATTCCCAGTTTCCATTGGATCAGTTTGGTCAGGTGTTCGAGAAAATAGTCCAGAATCAAAGTTCCCTTTCAGATGGTCCACTACAAATCAAATGCGTTCGGATGCCATTATCAAGTGTGCAACAACGCAGGAATGCCACCAATTAGTGCGTTTGCCTGCGTGTTTAACAATCCGTGAGTTTTTCCAGAACAGAAATTCTCAAATTGCTTGCGATGTTATTCCCCAGCTTCACCAGATCCACCTTTCTCTGAACGATGACTATGAGAAGGACCAGAGTCACCTTTTGGCATGGCAGCCCCAAACCCTCTTTTCAATCAACTGAGTGTCTCTGTAAGATTACCACCTTAGCCAGTCCTACCATTGCAGATAACCCTGTTTTGACGGGTCCTAGAAAACAGCTGTATACGGTAAGCCAATAAAGGGGTTACTGTAATGTGCCTCGCTCTCCTCGGCCTACCTGTGGGGTGATCTCACTTGACTCCTTGACTTTTCGAACAATCCTCACTCGCTGGTGAGCCCCGCGGGGGGTGATGGAAACTAAGTGGTTTGTCCGTGTTGGGGCGAGCGACACTTTGCATTCTTTGCGTAAAGGTTCGTATGATTCGTTTGTTAATGGTATTTGGAGACTCCCTTGAGTTCGTTTCGGTAATGTTCTTCAATCGAGCACCACTCCCACCACGGTAGCTGCTTCCAGTGTTCTGGAATCAGTCACCAAATCCCTGGAGCGTCCCCAATTCTTTTGCAATGATCATGTGGATGGGCGTCTACCTGACCTTTTCCAGGATAAGCACTAGCAGTTTTTTGCGTTCGTCCTCTTCTTCAAAAGTTCATTCTGTGCACCATATCCTAGTTCTGTAACCTATACGCCTTTTAGACTCCCACAAAATATTGTTTTTATGTGTTGACTGTGACCTCGATTGCGACCAAAACGGGCGAAATGACCCACTATCCCTGCCTTAACAACTTATCGGAAGCTTCATCATTTTGGCTTTCGCAGATAAATAGTACAAATAATACCAGGAAATGAATGGTACCAAATACTGAACGGTGCCGATAATTCTCCTTGCAGACCGATGATGAACGAACCGCTCTACATCGCGTCCACGCAAGGTCAAGTGGATGGCTGTAATGACGATAGCAACTGTGACCAATATATGCCTTTTGCAAAATGTCATACTACAGCATCAGATCCGGCAAATCGTTTGTATAAAGGCCTTTGTTATTCAACCAACGAGACGATGTTTATTAGTGAGTTTTGGCTTCTCTCTTTCATTTCCTGATATTGTATAGCCCACTGTGGACTGTAGTGCTGCACTCATCTAGGCACATTTTCATTTTTCGCAGCAACAACGCTAATTAGATAATTCCCATCAAAATAATAAATTTGCCGCCTGCAGATCTGAGACCCTTGCCAAAAAGTATGGCTTGGGTGTGAAAATTTGACGCAACCAACCCCTGAACAAATTGATGGGATAACAGGGTCGATAATGAAATTGTGGATACCATGCTGACTGTAAGTAAAAAAAGAAGCAAAGCGTCAATGAAGCCCTCAAACAATGGCTGTCTCTCTTTCCCCTTGAATTGAGGAATGGGCGGGGCCGGACGAGTTTTCCAAACTCGCTTGCTCCATGGCCCCACTAAGCCGCGCGTATTTGAATCAGCTGCCGCCATAATCTACCCTTCGCATCCTGGGGCGTGCACGAGTGACTCTGACCCACTAAAATCACCTTATGACATTAATCACTTTGTAAGCCGTAATGCCATCCGTCGCATAACTCGAGACAACAATAATGCACATATTATCGTGAGTATTTACCTTTTCCCAGACAACCTACTTTCCGACGCAACGCATCTTCGGGCTGCTTGCTCAATTAAAATCAAAAATAACAACGGTGTGCGAACCATGCATGCGCAACGATCAAATCAAGCCAAGCGCTGAAGCTTCAAAAGTTGGGGAAGTTATGTGTTTATAAGAAGATTGATTCATTAGCATCTGCCACTGAAGCCACTTCTGCGTCCACCACTGAGATGACATCCACAGAAGAGAGTACTACAATGGCTGAAACGATTGAAGCATCGTCCATGACAACTGAGGAGACAACTATGGGTACTGAAGAAACGACTATGGGTTCTGAAGAAACGACTATGGGTATGACGACTGAAGAAACAACTATGGGTATGACGACTGAAGAAACAACCATGGGTATGACGACTGAAGAAACACTATGGCCATGGGTATGACTGAAGAAACAACTATGGGTATGACGACTGAAGAAACGACCATGGGTATGACGACTGAGAAATACCTCTATGACAAGTGAAACAACGGCCATGACTACTGAAGTAACTTTTACAGAAGCATCAACAACAACAACACCCTTTTATAATCCCATGACAGACATAATTCGCACGAATATTACCAACATGCACAATTATCGCAGGTATGTTCGTTCAAATAAAGATATGATCACATACAGTCGTAGGTCAGTAAGACTGGCGGATTGCTGATAAGAAAATGCAGCGCCTTGGGTTTCATTATGATTAACAGGTTCAGAGCCTGTCTGAAGAAGGGTTCTAAAATTAGGTCGAAGGGAAAATTACCGAGTGGTAAGACAATAGTGCGACCGACACGCAGTTGGCAGCGAAGGATAAGCCCCCGCAATCTAGCATGACCCTCCTCGCGGCGCTATCGGCGCGGCACGCCCATCGACTGGCTGACCGCTCACCGCCGCACTAGCCGTTAAGCAGAAAAAGCGTGCGTAGAAGAGGGCAGCAACGATGGCAGTTGCATCTGTCGCAAATTAACGGGCAAGGAAGGGATCCTCCCATTTTTAGGGTTCTGAGCCGTTTCTCATAGTCATTTCTTCAT